AAAAACAAAAAGTGTAGAATGGTAAATCTTCCTTTATTTTTCTCCATTTCTCTCCATGCCACTAAATTGTCACTAGTAACCATAAACTTTCATGATTTGCTAACTTCCTCTTAAACAAGTCACTAGAGATTGTTATAAAAAAAAAAAGTGTGGGTAATACGATAGATTAAGAAATTTAAGGCACACAATACACAACATGTGGTCTTAGATTGGACACTTGTTTGAATGAACCAGAATTCTGGGGTCAATTGGAGAAATCAGAATACAGTGTGTACACTAAATGAGATGAAAATTTATTAAAATAGAAAAGTGGAAATTTTTTACTAAAAAACAGCAGATTTTATACTAAAAAACAGCAGGTACTAAAAACAGTACCTCATTTCACTAAACAGAAATGCATATAAGTATATGCATAGAACAGGATCCAGAAGACTATACAGTAGGGTATTATTAGCAGGAGTAATCTCTGGGTGGTAGATATACAAGGCTTTATTTTTGTTTGCTTGTATGACAGTATTTTAAAAGCTCACGGGAAGATTCATATTATCTTTTAATTCTATTTTCCAAGTTTTTGAAGTAACCTTGTATTTTGTTTTTAATTTTCTATACTTTTTTAATAAAGCATTATTTAAAAATACATTTTCTAACTTCTATCCCTTTTTAATAAGGCTGACATTCAATAAGAGAATTGTTCAAAGAGAACACAAGTGTATCTATTACAGCAAGAGTTATAGTTTAGTATAGTAGTTGCCCGTATGAGCTCCAACTGGGTTCCATACCAAACTTGACCAATGACAAGCTGTGTGACTTTGGGCATGTTATTTAACCTAAGTCTCAGCTCACTATCAATAAATTGTGGGTAATAATAGTGCAACATCTATCTCGTGGGGTTGTTGTGGAGATTAAGTGTCATACTCCACATAAAGCTCAGCAGAGTGTCTGACATATAGTAAAGCACTTGATGTTACCTATTATTGCTATTATTCTTCTAATGAGTCACTGAGAGAGGACAACTGCTAGTTCTTAAAGTTAATGTAAAAAATAGGATAGAATGTAGCAGCAATATATAGGCCTTTTCTCTCACTATTACTGTCCCCTAAACTTCCCTCTTGACCCAACGGGAGAAGCTGAATGCCACTCCCAGATTCTCTTAGAATCTCACCTCAACACCATTATTTCCTATGGATAAAGGTTTGCACAGCTGTATCTGAATTTTTTTTAAGTCTACAATGAAATGCAATATCTAGGAGCTGATTCCAAACGCGTTGAGTATATTACCTGTTTGCGTTCCATGACTGGTATCATGGGAGAAACTTTATAGATTATTTCTAATTACAAAAGAAATTAAGTATTTTCTAGTTAGGTTCTTCTGAAGAATCAAACTTTTTAAAAAAATTATTTATTTTTTAATGGCTGGCCGCTACAGGGATCCAAACCCTTGATCTTGGTGTTTTAACGCCATGCTCTAATGAACTAAGCTAAATGACCAGACAGAAGAATCAAACATCTTATAGGTGAATCTCATATCTGAATTCTCAATTTTCAAAGATATTGGTAAAGTAATTTTCTTTCTAGACCAGAAAGGAGATAGGAATAAAACTCACCTTCAAAGATCCCTTCCTAGAAACAAGCAAAATTTAAAAATTTATAAAAAGAATGAAAAACAAGAGAGAAAAAAAAAAAAAAACCCACAAAGATCCTTTCCTGAATGAACTTACTCTCTCCTTCCAAAGCAGCAACTTACTGTCTTGAACCCCAGCTATAGAACATCTTATGCTAGATTTATGTATATTCAGTTAACAGCAATTACAGATCATTCTCAGATAAAGTCCTTAACAAACATGCTTTCTTGTTAAGCATACAATGTTGGCCATTCAATACTTTGACCATATATTTTAAGAAGTTTAAGAGAAAATTGAGACAATTTCAAATACTATAACATGAAATATAAGATAAAAAAGTTTTCAAGAAATCACACTACCCTAAGAGGTAAAAGACCCAAATGTGGGCATAACCTTTTTCCAACTGGACTTCAACCAGGAATTCAACATACTCGTTGACAAAACTGATTACAATCTTATTTGCTTGATAGTACAGGGTGCTTCTGAAGTATACAGAACAAATCTAATCTCAAGTAGCATTCTATAAAGAGCAGAGAAACTGCCAATATACATACTAGAGATGGCTCTATTAAGTGCCACCAAATCATACACTAGTTAACAAAAGTAAGATGCCCACATTCAGTGTTTAACAGTCCTTCTTCTTAAAAGTTCAATTAAATAATAATGAATTTCAGAAATATATCAATCTAGCTGATATATCAACCCCTAGCTGATCTTATTTAAAAATAAAAAGTCAAAACACTTGTCTGCAATGAGGCTTGTATATTCCCACCAAGCTATAACTACTTTCTGGGCCTTATTTTCAAATGTTTGGGTCATAAAACTTAGAATGTGATTCATCCATTTTTTCAATGGACTCTGGAAAATGCATGATGCAAGTCAATCTCCATCCCTAGAAAAGTCTAGTTTTTTATTTCTGCCCATCCATTATGCCACTAGACTTCTCATTCAGCACCTAAAATCAAGCCCTAAACTTGAGAAAGAAAGGTCCACTCATATTATGGCAATTATTTCACTTGGTTTCAGATGACTTCTGGTTAACATCTCTTAGGAATGTACCTGCCCCCTTAATCTATTATCACCTCTGAAGGATTAGGCTATTCATTCTAAGAACTAATCCTAAACTCAACAGTCTCTATTTAACTTTGAGTTCAAAGAGTGAAAAGGAGCATCTGAATGAATATCTTCATTTTTATAGATGAAGAAAATGAGTCCAAGGAAATAACATGAATTGTCTACGGTCACACACCTCATTAATGGAAGATGTCATAACAGAGATCTTTCTTCCATCAAATGAATTTAACTCAATTTAAATTACCTCCAAGGACATCATATCCACAAATGATTTAAGGAATAAATCAATAGAAAATCTTTGTTCTGTTTTGGAACTGGCACTGTCTCCTTCCCAGGCTGCTGATCACACTTCAATCCATTGTTCCTCCACAAGCTATGGGCATGAGTTTTGCAACAGTAAGGCATGCAAAGAAACTCTCAGGCACTCATGCCACTGACCACACAGTTTTTACATAAGAGCCATTAACTTTGAGAATGACTTGGAGACTGCAAACTGCCTTGTGATATCATCAGCTGAGTTTCCCATAATGGCATTTATCTAACCATTGCCAAACTCAGTTTCCTAATCCAACAAATGGATGTTAAGATTCACATAGTCTCAAATTGGACAAATTTCTCAAGCTGTGTGGCTTAACATGTTAAGTTTTAATTCAGTCTTTCTCAACAGAGGCACTACAACATTTTGAAAAAGACGATTCTTTGTTGTGTGGGATTATCCACTACATTGCAGAAGGTTTAGTATCATTGGTCCTCTGTCCTCTAAATGCAGGTAGTTCTACCAGTCACATCCCCACACACTTCCAAATGACCCCAAGGGGGAGGATAGTACAAGAACTAACCTTAGGGTCAACCATTAAGTGAACTATAAAGTAATGAAAAATGTTTACATAAAGATCTAACCCCTTTTCCCTGCCACTAAATACTGCCCTCTATTCCTCTTTTTACCCTAGAGATTAGTTATAATACTCTGTTCATTAACTCCATAAAACCAATTTTGTCTAAACTATTTACATAATTAAGACACTTGTATGGTCAGAGAAGTTGAGTAGAAAAGTTACTGAAATGTAATCAGGATATTTGAGTTTGAATTCCAGTTTTCTGGCTATTAAACCTTAGGCAAGTTATTTCCCCTTATCAGGCCTCAGTTTTCACATCTATTAAAACAAAACACATTAGGCTAAATTATCTCTCTGATTCATTGCAGTTCTAGGAATCTGTGAAGTAAAACATAATTGACTTGCTTTACTCTTGTCTTTCCACCTCCACATAGCTAAATAAGGGTGACTACTAATGCACACTATCTTCATCTCTCAGAAGCCAGGACCCAAGCTCCAGGGATAATAATAAGAGAACAGTAATATTCAGTCAGATCTAGTATGGGATTTTACTATAGAGTCAGTATCTTGGGTGTATAAAAATAAGCTGAATTATTTTATGACCCATAAATAATAGAAGCACCAAGATAATAACGGCAGCAACAGCCACCCTAACTAATGTTTATCTAGGCTAGACCTATAATCTCAACCCTGGCTGTTACACTAGAGTCACCTGGATAGCTTTTTTTAAAAAAAATACCCGTTTATAGCCAAGCAAATACCAAATGAATCAGAATCTCTGGAGATGGGGTTTATTTTGTAAGGCTCTCCCAAGTGATTCTGATGAACAACAGTGAGAACCAAGAACCATCTATCCAGATCTTTAATCCAAGAATTACAAAGCAAATGACTAAAGGTTAATTTTGACACACTGGTTGTATAATCAAATATCAATAAATAAGAATAATCCAGTGTTACTATTTACTGACATTCTCAATTACAGAGAACTGTGTGTCTAGAGAAAACAGGGGAGCTCTATAACACTTTGTTCATATCACAACCCTTTAATGAGGACTGGTCCTGTAAGAAACAAATATAACTTCCTGACATGATGAGGCAGTTCAAAGAAAGATTACTAAAAATGTACCCACCGCTGCAGAATTCCTATCAATCATCAAGATAGTAACAACAATGTTATTTAAAGTAGCACAGAGACTGAAATTCCTCAACCTAACTCTTACTCACTAGGTCTCATTAAAAGACAAGTATGTAGGAAGAACAGGAAAAAGTTGAGGGCATCATTTAGGAAAAGACACTTCCAAAACCCGCAAAATACATCTTTCCCACTTTGTCATCAAAACTTTGAGTCTAGTGACAGAGGAAAAATTAAAGCAGTCTTGGCTAAAATTATTCTTGCTCTTTTCAGGACACATCAGCAAAACTAATAAGACCAGTTAAATAAGTAAACCATTAAACTTTTCTGTCTTACCTCATGTGTAAAGCCATGCCATCCTGTAGGCTAGAGATTCCTAAATCAGAGAGTGTATCTGAGCTGACAGAAGCTGGTGACAGAGAGCCCTCCTTCTCCTCCAGTAGGTCTAGCTTCACCAGGCTACTGATCTCATCCTCTGAGTTATCTTCAGACACAGAACCAATTATGAATCGGGAGTGCTGGTTCAGCTCCAGAGGTTTGGCCAAGGGAGATGGTTCATCCATTATTCCTTCGAAATGAGCTCTCAGAGCTATGGAAAATATGAAGAGTAAGTAAGAAAAGCAGACTATGGATAATAATCTATATCTGAGAACAGCCAGAGGCTATTTCTGATAAACCACAACTGGCACTTAGAAGCAAGGCAGAGTTTAAGAACTAGCTTCCCTGGCTATTCCATTTCAGGGCCTTTGTTTTCTACGAGGGAAGAAAATTGAGTACATGGTAACTATGCCTAAAAATTAAAACCAGTTCCCTTTTCTACAAAGAAATCTGTCTCAAAAAACTACAAACCATTCCCAATCTCTTTATCAATTTGGTGATGTTCAACAGATAACTATGATCAATGGAGAAACCGTTGTAGTAGGTAAAGTCTACTTGTTGTGATAAGGCAATTTCAATTGTTAGTACCAGGGAGAAAAGGGTTCAGGTTTGGGAAGAGTAATGGTCATTTGAAACTTGGTGTTTAGAGGAAATTACATAATGATCATTTGGTTCCAAACACTATACCTTGAGAGGCTAAGAATTTTACACAGTGTATATACCTTTAAAACAAACTCCATATGGGTATTTTTTAATTAAAAAAAAAAAACTTCAGGGCCGGCCCGGTGGCGCACTGCTACAGTGCGCCGCTTGGGAGCGCGGTGGCGCTCCCGCCGAGGGTTCGGATCCCACATACAGACCGGTTCCCGCTCACTGGCTGAGCGAGGTACGGGCGCAGCACCGAGGGTTGCAATCCCGTTGCCGGTCCCGGTCCAGTACGGGCGCGACACTGAGGGTTGCGATCCATTGCCGGACACGAAAAAAGACAAAAAAAAAAAACAAAAAAAAAAACTTCATTTGTTCTGATGAGTCTTTTCTTGAATTACATCTTTTAAAAATCCACCCAAAAACGTCTACTTTTGGCTCTAATATGCTGACATTGGTGTAGGGAGAAAGTGAATCTATGACCAAACTAAAAAACTATAATCAGTTGATAACACCAAGGTCAAGGATTCAGATTCCCTCACCAGCTATCTGCCAAAAAAAAAAAGCCATAATGAAAGTTACACTCAATAAGTACAACTTTTCTAGATATAGGGTCTTACTAGTCAGGGATTAGATACTGCCAATTGCTAACTAACAAACTAATTAATAAAGACAAAAACAGTTCAAAGCCCAGAACAACAATAAAAATCCTAAGAAACAATATTTTGTTGCCTCAAATCCTATTTAAAAACTTCAAAACAACAAATAACTCATTATTCAGTAGCTTATAGCCTAAGAAATCATTTTAATTCAAAAACGATAACCAAACCTGATTTTGAGATGCTCTAAGATATAACAGATAGTAATAAATAGTTAATAGATAGCAACAAATGTATTATTAATAAATTTTACATGCTATCAATCACTTTGAGGTATAAAAGTAGGCAGAGAGCAGTGTTCCTTGATATCAGACAAGAAAACATCAATATTTTAAGATGTTTGGGAATCACCACTGAACATGTTAAAATTACATATGCACTATTATTTTGGTATAACCCGTGACTCAGAGCTTATTGATGCATAGAGACAAAACAGTATTTGTAAATGCTAGAGCAGTGTGGTTCTCAAAGTGTGGTTCCTGGACCAGCAGCAGCAGCAGCTGGGAACTTTCTAGAAGTGCAAATTCTTAGGCCCTACCCCAGAGCAACCAACTATCGGAAACTACAGGCTGGTGTCCAACAATCTGTGTTTTAACAAGCCCTAAAGTTTGAGAACCACTGCGCTACAAGAATAAAAAAGTAATAATGGAGCTGGCCAGTGAGCTCAGTTGGTTAGAGTGTGGTGCTGGTAACAACAAGGTCTAGGGTCTGATCCCTGTACTGGGCAACCGCCAAAAAGTTTTTTTTTAAAAAAGGTATTAAGGGCCGAGCCCGTGGCGCACTCGGGAGAGTGCAGCGCTGGGAGCGCAGCAGTGCTCCTGCTGCAGGTTCGGATCCTATATAGGGATGGCCGGTGAGCGCACAGCACTCACTGGCTGAGCACGGTGCGGCCGGTCTCAAAACGGACAAAAAAAAATAAAAAAGGTATTAATACGGGCAGCCCATGGCTCACTCAGGAGAGTGCGGTGCTGATAATACCAAGGCCACGGGTTCAGAACCTATATAGGGATGGCCAGTTAGCTCAATGGTTGAGCATGGCACTGACAACACCAAGCCAAGGGTTAAGATCTCCTTACCAGTCATCTTTAAAAAAAAAAAAAANCTTTAAAAAAAAAAAAAAAAAAAAAAAAAGTAGTAACAAATTTCCAGGAATGCTTAAAAAAAAAAAAAAAGAAAGAAAGAAAAAGAAAAAACCTATAGACATTTCCTGAAAGTGAGCTGGACATGACTTAAGGTAACTTTTATTTTTAAAACTAGAATCAGTCTAGCCAGTTAGTTCAGTTTGTAAGAGCATGGTATTGTAACACCAAGGTCAAGGGTTCAATTCCCCCATCACCGTACCACCCAGCCACAAAATAAATAAATGAATAAATAAATAAATATAACTAGAAGCAAATATAAAAGTATCATGCAACAGAAAAAAATTACAAAATTTACATTTCTCCCTGGAATATTAGGTTTCTTGAAAAAAAAAAGTATCCAAATTTTATGAAGATCTTCATTCTAGAAGCCTAAATGAAAACCAAATCATTTTTTTTAAAAAGAGAGAGGAAAAAAAGGAAAAATGGGAGAGTGGGAAGAAAAAAGGGGAAAAAAAGTTCCAACAGATTGACTGCTCTGAAGAACACCAAAAGGTACAACAGCAAACATGTATTTTTTTCATATTTTAAAGCAGTGAATAGTCAAGTTTAAAAATAAACTTATAGCTGGCTGGTTAGCTCAGTTGGGTTAGAATGTGGTGCTGATAATATCAAGGTCAAGGGTTCAGATCCCCATACCGGCCAGCTGCCAAAAATATAAATATAAACTTAAATAAAAATAAAATTACATCCCAACACAGAAAATAATGGCTTCCTTCTTCACAAGAGAAATAAGTAAGGCACTCAGGTGCAGATTCTACCTTACAGGTTGACTGAAATTAGATGACCACACACACACAAAAAATAAAATCCGAAAGAAAGGAATGATTTTTTGATTCCACGGGAAAGAAAAGGAAAGGGTTAACAAAACATGGTCCGCAGGCTAATAAATGAAAGTCTTGATAAGGCCAATTTCAAGTTTTTCTTTCCTAGCTAAGAAGAACGTGAAGGTGTCCTTTTCTAAAGGGTTACATAGA